TCTTCCTCATCAGTCAGTCAAAGTCTACTGCTGGACAAATCTCTCTTGTTGGTAGGATTTGTATCAATTCTGACACTTGGTAGTCGTATTGACAATTGCAGAACCAGATGTGTCACACCGTTGTCGCTGGTTCACGCGTCCAGTTTACTGTGGTGTAAACTGAATGGGTATTCCAACATCTATCACAACTCACAAAATATTTCTGACATTTCCTAGACAACTTACAACATACGAGTCGAACTGAGTGATGAATCCTCTTAAACCATAATAACACGATACACCACTATATATTTTCTACCGACTTCAAAAAGGAGACTGACTGTATGTTATTTTTTATGTGTTTAACCAATTTCGATGATTCTTTTATTTATTTAAAAGCCGATACTTTTCATGTAGTCCCGTATTAATTTGATTAAGTTCTGACCAATAGTGTTTGAGTAATAATTTATAATGAAGTTGGTTGTACAAAATTTAAAATTACTATTTAGAATAAGGGTGAGAAATAAACATACAGTCCACTTGATTGTAAATAGATGTGTGGCCCATAGACTATAGAATGTTTGGTTCTTTATACACGCCATATGAAATATTAAGCTGCTATTTTATACCCCGATCGAGCCAACTCATTCGTGCTACAATTAAAATACAGCTGCGCCATGCTGTGCAGCTGTGTTATAATTATCTACCACGTTTTAGCATAACTGTGCCAGGTTTCAACATGGTTCTAACACGTATTACCATAGGTCTGCCACATATACTATTAGAACAAAGGCAGCTATTTTTTGGGCCTTCAATTAAATAAAATCTAACCTGCAGATTAATCTGTTACTCGAATTATATAACTCCTTAAATCTACTTAGTTGCGTTAAAATATTCTAAAGGCTAATTTACAACGGGTTTAGTGAAGCAAGGAAAACAGAACGTAACCCTCACTAGTGTAATTATATAACTTTATATAGATTTTCTAATTTAAGATTTTTTTCCTCAAAGTACTACAAGTTCAATAAATAACACATTTATAAACTGCCATACCTATCACTAGACTTTGGCATGATATACAGTATCACACGTCTTTCACTTCTTTTACATCATACGTGGTAGAGCCATGCTGCAGCTATATTAGTAGTATAGTTGTAGCACGAATGGGTCGGCTCGACCGGAGAAGAACCACGCTCTCACAGAATACCAGCGTAAAATGGCAGCTTGACACTGCTGTATTTCGTATGGTGAGTGTAGAGAATCGGAGACCCATTTTACTGGAAAAGAGGCATTCCATCTTAGTCCTCACGGGTGCCGACGCATCTGTATTTTGATTATTTATTGAGGACTAGCGTGAGTCAAGCATAAAAGATAGACATATGCTGTCGTGGGATATTTTTTATATAATTTTAAGGAGAATATTTCCGTTATACATGATTTCTGTGTAGCTTTAACCATTAAGGCTGCACACGCGACGGAAACTTAGTAATTTCTCCTCTTTGGAGTAATTTCTCCCGTTTCCCCAACATTTACCTTCACTGCTCTGCTCCTATTTATCGTAGCGTGATGAAAAGTATACTATAACCTGCCTAGGAGTATGAAAAATGATTGCACCAAGTTTCGATAAAATCCGTCGAGTAGTTTTTGTTTCTATAACGAACATACAGACAGACAGACAGACAAAAATTTTACTGTTTGCATTTTTGTCATCAGTATCAATGACTAATCACCCCCTGATGGTTATTTTGGAAATATATTTCATGTACAGAATTGACCTCTCTACAGATTTATTATAAGTATAGAAGATACATGTCTATGGGTCACAGCAACCACTTACCATCAGGTAGGCTGTGTGCTCGTTTGTCACCCTATCCTATAAAAATATCCTTCAAGAAAAGGGAATACTCCTTTTTTAAAGGCCGGCAACGCATCTGCAATTCCGCTGATATTGCAGTTGTGCATGGGTGGCAGTAGTCACTTACTTAGTCTTCAATATTTGTTATGGTGGCTCTTCACGTTGGCCAACATAGTGGCGAATGTTTTTTGCAGAGATATTGGCCAAGAATTTGTGATCGCGTCCACACGTTGGAAGGTCGTTCAGTTTGCTTTGGTTCAGGCCAATGTGCGGACAAATTTATTAAAATGATTATTGATGCGCTAATGGCTGCTGCGGTTTATTTATTAACAGCATACCACTATAACGTGAATGTGTATAAGAAAAGGGTGATCGAAAAGAAATGGAAAAAACGAAATTTTATTTCTTGACGACTCCGTGGCGTAGTGGCTTAGCAATGAGTTGCTGCGTTGGGGGCCGTGGGTTCGAATCCCGCACAGAACAAGTATTTGTATGGCCTGCAAATAATTGCTCCGGGTCTGGATGTTTATCCTTATACAATTTATGTTTGTAAACTGCCTCCACGATAAATCCTAGTGTGGGGGTAACGTTTATATAAAAAAAGACTTGAAAAACTTATGTTTCACAAACAATTTCCGGCTTGGTAGGGCTCTATAAAGAGAAAAATTTTTTCATTGGTCATTGTTACTGCCATTATGTAGACACTAGTACGATAAGTACATATAAAATTTAAATAAGGTGCTTGCGATCACTCTGGGAGCTCGTAGCAAACTGAACGTGCGCCCAACGTGTGGATGCAGCGGCCAATACTCTGCCACAACCATTTGATCTTTTGCAAAAAACCGACACCACACGGATCTCGCGCCAACTTGTGGGCCATCGTTCCAATACATATCAACGTAGCTTAAACACTCGCTCTACACGATGGTTCGCCAGTATGTTGGCCAACGTGTAGAGCCGCCGTTATACGTGTATTGATAAACTGCTCTCTAGGGAGTATCTTGCCGTCTCTGCCACCTACTTCTGAAGCATAAGAGTCCAAACCACCGCAGTACACCTTTAATAATCCTAGTCATAACATCTTGCAAACCACACTTTTAGCTTATTACACAATTATCACCCCGTCATTCAGAGTTAGCTCTAACCAGGGCTCGGAAACCGGTTCAAATTCTAAACCGGTTTTGGGGTCAATGACCGAAACCGGTTTAAGTGGAATACCGGTTTTTCATAAATTTGGGTTTAGGTGGTAAGAATTAACCGGTTAAATCCAAGTTTTGTAATGTCCCCCCTCTCCCTTACCCCGCTTGCAGCCTGCTTTATACGCCTGCGCTCTGTTAGTAAAAATCGACGTGAACTATGGTTTTATTTGTTTTTAAACAGAATGTAATGTTCACTGAGTGGGTGCAAAGTGTTCTACGCGAGTGTTCACGCGTTTTTAGAATGAATATTACTTTAATTGATTAATAAAGAGCGAAATAATAATGCAGTGTCAAGGTGAGCTACTTATTAATTTATTATAGAATATTATTTTGTAAATATTTATATTAAATATATTCCAATTTTTTTCCAAGTCAAATGCTATGAAATATACCAAAAAACACTCTTACGGCTTTTTTTAAACTGTTATTATTCAATTTTATTAGTTAACTATATATACATATTTATTTTCAGACCAAGATTCGATTCTGGAAAACTTAACGGTTATCTCTCTTCTGTTTTCAGAGTATGAATCTGGTATTCTTGATATAGGAGATATGAAAGTCATAATCAAAAGCACAAAATGGCGAGAAAAAACTACTCCTTATCAAAGCGAAGATGAAGATGATGCAAGTTTAAAAATAAAAGAAGTAAGTACCCAGACTGAAGATGCAAATAACATGTCACCATGTAATTGTAAAAGAAATATAATTGCAATCGTCATTCGACGACTTTTAGAGGATGTGTCAGAAGATAAACTTATGCCACTGTTAAATGAAATAGAAGTGATTGTAAATCATTATAAAGAATAAGTTGTATTGAAATAAAATAAACTTCATTTAATTATATGGTTTTTCTCTCGCTGGTATAATAATTGTAGATATAAAGTAAATGGCCACTATTTTTCCATTAACAAGTAGGATGCGGGAAGTAAAGACTGTGCAAGAACCTCCGAAGGAGGCGGAGTTATAGCCGAAATAAGATGTTTTTATTTTTTGGTTTTTGGCCATTTTGACCCCCTAGGAGTGTAGAGAGAACTTTTTGCCCCTATTCAACCATGACCCCCATGACATCCTCTACATTATACGATATTCAAACTGACTATGCTTAAAGTTCGAGCCACCCCCCAATTTTTTGGTTTTTTGCCTATTTTGAGCCCTAGGAGTGTAATGAGAACTTTTTACCCCTATTCAACCATGACCCACATGACATCCTCTACATGATACGCTATTCAAACTGACTAGGCCTAATATTCGAGCCACCCCCCAACTCATTACTAGTCTTTACTTCCAACAACATTACTACTTTTTTGTCGTGGTTTTTACCACCTACTTATGAAATTATGAATATGTTTTGTTGACATGTTTATTTAAATAAAATAAATAATTAATAATTACTAAATGCTTTATTTCGATTCTCCCATTTATAAAAGTACCTAATAACTCTGAAACTTTTTTTATATACGTAATTTGTTTCAAATGGTTAACTTAATTATTAAGTATTAAAATATTAGGTATTCTTAATTAACCACTTAAAAGTATAGATGTCACTACTCATCTATAATTTAAGTAGTTATTTAGGTCACTATGTATATGACAGTATAATTAACAAGGTACCTTCGGTTTTATTCACATAGTCATGTTCTAATAATTAACAGTAATAAAAAAGTACTCTAAATGGTAATGACAGGGTTAGTCTATTCATCATAAACTTAAACTCCTTGTAGGCAACTTATCGGTTATCATTAATTCCACCTTTTGTTTCTCTATGTGTAAGGTTCATAAAAAAATTAAAAAATTAAAAAAGCCTTGTAAATTGACTCCGAGAAAGAACCTTACATACTACTATGTCGTTATGTTTTTGCATAAATATTGTTAAGATCGTGTCTTTCACACTTCTACTTTTGTTTTTCTGGTACTAAAGTCTTTAAAAATAATATAATTATAATTAATGCTGAATTTCAAAAATATTACTCCTCATCAAATAAATGGATGTTTCTTACTACTAAAACATCATCAATAATTGAGTCACTCAATGACATACGTAAATTGTTAAGTACAAATTTAAGAGATGAAAAAAGTCTCTCGACACTAACACTTGTCGGCGGAGTCACCAAAATTACTTTTGCCAGTTTATATAAATATGGATCAGTAAACTGTTTGCGCTCCCAGTACTCTAAAACGTTTGTTTTCGACGGTAATACTGGTTCTTGTATAAAAGCAATCAACTTTAGATTGATTTCTCTTTCTAACGATTGTGAGGTGTGTGGTTCATCTGTCGTTGTGTATCTGATGCTAAAGAAATGCTCGCGAAGGTAGTTGTCAAAATTAATATTTTGGCCACATGAATCAAGCTCTGCGGAAGTTCCTGGAGCATCATCATCAACACCAGAAGTAGAAGGTTCAGGGGTTGCTAATCGCGTTAATCTTTTGTACGTCTCAACTAAAACAGCCCTTGCATTGATTTGTTGAGCATTCGAAAGTGTAGCATTTACTCTTGGGTCGAGATAAATAGCGGCGAGAAAGTATTCATTAGTGAAAAGCATTTCTTGACGACTTCTTAGACAACACAACAAACGTTGGGCAAAGTTGTCATCTATTTGTTCGACTTGGAGACGACACTTCATCCAAGCAATGTAAAAGTCACCAAAAGTAAGTTGTTCCATCTGCAGCCTTTTTGACAGAATTCTACATGGTTGTAGGATGTTTAAATATTTTTCGATGGAGTCCCAAATTGTTTCAGGTTCGAAAACTAAGTTAGTAGTGCAAAAATCTTTTAATTTATGCAGCCTTTCTAGCATATTTGCCGTAGAATCCCATCGAATAGGCGTATCAATCACTGCATTTTGCAGTTTAAGTTGTTTTAAACGCATTGCTACAGTTGGTGTACGTAAGTTACGTACAATTTTTCGGCAATGCCCAAGAAATTCTTCCATTTCTTGGCAGGCATCCTTGACGGCCAACTGCAAGCAGTGCGCGGCGCATCGTATGCTTGTAACAGTGCGAACCGCTTCAGGCGTACTACCTGTGCTGGTATCTAGCTCTAAACTATGTTCTATAAAAGATGGATCTTCCTCGTTATAGTCAATGACAGTTTCGATGTCAAAGTCATCAAACGTCTCACTTACTGACTGATTTAATGAGTCCCTGGCTGCCTCATTTAATTGATTAGTCATACTTATCATATTTGCTCCGTTGTCAGTAGTAATCGTATGTATTTGGTTTAGCTCTATTCCATATCTACTAAGAATAAAAACTACATTTTCTTTTAAATACTGCCCTGTACTTCTATCGAATAATTCTACTATGCTCAAATTCCTAAGGACGATTTTCCCATCTGAAAGAATAAATATTATGTAATAAAATGTTACGTAAATAGATAATACTTTAACCAAGCTTTCTCATAAAAATCGACCTCAAATTAAGAATTAAAATCTCTCTTTTTGTATATACATATCTTTTAGTAATACAAACAAGACAATAGAAAGAGACAGATATAGAAATAATGAATACTTAATTCTAATGGCTTAATAAATTAAATGTAAATAATCAACGTTTATAAATAAGGCCGATTATGTTTAAGATATTAATTAGTCGGAAAATAGTTAATATTGTACACTTAGTGCAGCAGGCGACCATCGGCTACAGAGATCATTTACTGTCAGGTAGGAGTATTATTTACCAATATCGTGCTTATTTACCAACATCGTGATACTCGTATTAAAATAGATATATTAAAAACCCTATTAATATTTTCGGTTACTTTACTTACCCAAAACATACTGTATATTTAGACCTAGAAATCTTCGTAACTTAATAGATGCAATATCTACTTTGATTGCGAGTAGATTATTTTTGATTTCGTTACATATCTTTCCTCGAACTTCGTGAGCCATATCCTGTATACTGGATCGTACATTTTTTATATTAATTGCTTGGTGCTGATTCTGTGTTACCCCTGGTATTAATTTAAGTATGTCTCTGAACGCTTTATCCTCAATAAAGTTAAATGGACGACCGTGGTCCGTAACGAGTCTCGTGCAACATTGCAAGACAGTTTTGGTGTTAGACGTCTGTGGCAGAATGTTTTCTTTAGCTGCCAAATTTGAACTGTGGATTTCATTGTATTTTGCTCTATGTTGAGAAAAAAAATGACGCAATAAGTTTGCCCCATGGTTTCCCTATAAAATAAAAAAATACGTTAACAATGCGTAGGTACATAAAGTATTTACCATCTATACAAATAAATAAAATTGCAGTGTCTGTTTGTAATTTTAAAATAACAGCTTTTTACTAAATGCATATGAAAGTATATACGGTACTTATAACAAAAAACAATATTTAAACTTTTTGTCTGTCTGTCTGTGTGTCTGTTTGTCCCGGCGAATCTCCAAAACGGCTGGACCGATTTTGACGGGACTTTCATTAGCAGATAGCGGATGTTATAAGGAGTTACTTAGGATACTTTTATTTTAGAAAAATAATTAGGGTTCCGCGCATTAAATTAAAACCCATGAAATCGTAGAAAATTCCACGCGGACGAAGTCGCGAGGGACAGATAGATTAATATAAAGTTATTAAAGTTTTAAAAAACAATGATTTTTATAAGCACTACGTGTTCAGTGATGTGTGTAAGTAACACGAACGAAGTCGCGGGTATCAGCTAGTTAATAATAAAATGTCAGGATATTTTATTATATTTATAATACTTCACACACTACCAAAGCCTCACAAATATTTAAGATTCCTAATTATTAACCCTATTGCATCGATATCAGCAGTGAACTTGTGAAAGACTGTAATGATGATGATGCTGCATCATCATTACAGCCTTTCACAAGTCCACTGCTGAACATAGGCCTCCCCCAAGGAATGCCAGAAAGCACTGTCCTGAGCCACCTGCATCCATCGACTTCCTCCATGTCTTACTAGGTCGTCACTCCGTCTAGTGGGGGGTCGCCCTACACTTCGTCTACCGGTACGAGGCTGCCACTCGAGAACCTTTCTTCCCCATCGGTTGTCGGTTCTTCGAGCTATATGGCCGGCCCACTGCCACTTCAGCTTACTAATCCGTTGGGCTATGTCGGTTACTTTGGTTCTACTGCGGATATCCTCATTTCTAAGTTTATCACGCAGAAAAACCCCGAGCATAGCCCTCTGCATAGCTTGCTGAGTGACCTTGAGCTTCTTCATACAGCCAGCAGTAAAGGACCACATCTCATTGATATAGAAAGACCACGTTGCATCGATATAGAAAGACAGAAATACATATTCTGTGAAAATTTCAACTGTCTACCTATTACGGATCATGAGATATAGCCCACTGATAGACAGGCGGACGGACGGACGGAAGGATGGACGGAGGGTTAGTAATAGAGTCCTGTTGGTTACCCTTTGGGTACGGAACCCTAAAATCAGTTAAGTCCGTAGAAAATAAAATCTTGTTTAGTCACGTCGCATGAATGTGTGAACAGATCATATCAGTAATTAGTTATTACTGCTAAACTGCAGGCAAATATTGTATTACATAATTTGCGAAGGCAAATATTGTGTTAATACTCGATTCGAAAGTGACTTCTTATCCTTTTGTAGAAAATAAAGCATGGCTTAGAATTTGCTTTGCTTTTAATTTGCCGAAAATGTTTACAACCGCATCACGTAAATATATACTTCAAGTATGAGAAAATGATTTATTTAAATGAATTGCAACCTTATCTGTATGATTATAAAGCACATATTTCAAGGACATTCGTTACTTTATCGAAAGAAAATGTTTCCATCTGGTTACAGATGATGTTAGATGTTCATCTATTAAATTTAGTGTAAACTGTAAAATGACCACTAGATGGACTTACCTCAAACAGTAAGGAAAGTCCGTCTACACGCCGATTTTTAAAAAAATTACCTCTATTTAAGCGTTATTTGACATTAAAGCAATTAAAGTGTTTTTAAAATAGTCAAAACAATATTTTTCATCATTTGTAACTATAAGTATTACCTTAGCATGTATAGTTCCATTAGTTTGGATCAATCAAAGTTAACTATTAAAAAAGTATGCCGGTTTCCCAACATTCACCTTACACAAAAATAACTTAGGTGATTATCAACATAAACAAAAAAAAATTCACGATATGCTTAATGTAAATGTAGATATATGACACGACAAACACTTTTAATTTATATATATAAAAATTTCGATAAATGAAACCCCGACTGTCTCATGGTTTAGTTGTCATAAGCGCGACTGTCGATTATGATGTGGTCCCGGGTTTGAATCCCGGGTCGTGCCAAAGTACCTTTATTGGATTATATTGGGTACTAGCTGTTCTCCGCGACTTCACCCGCGTATAATTTAGGGTTTTAATTATATTGTTCAGAACCCTAATTCTTTTTCTGAAATATAATTAACCTAAGTTACTCCTTAGGGCATCTGCTATATGCCAGTGAAAGTTCCGTCGAAATCCGTCCAGCCGTTTCGGAGATTAGCCGGAACAAACTGACAGACAGACAGACCGACAGACAGACAGACAAAAATTTTAAAAATTGTGTTTTTGTTATAAGTATCATATATACATTAATATGAATTTAGTAAAAAGCTGTTATTTTAATATTACAAACAGACGCCTCAATTTTATTTATTTGTATAGATAAAGAGAGTAATTCTCTATTAAATAGAGAATACCACTTGCCTTGATAGTCGTATCACAGCCCTCCATCAAACACTTAGATTTTTGAGTTTCCTCGTCGTACGCAAACATGGAATAAATTCTATTTACTTTTTTTCTCCCCATTATAAATAACAACAAATACAAAATAATAAATTATTTTCTTCGATATAAGTCCAGTCTTAAAGAATACACCAAAATGCAAAAGTAGTCTTTTCTTTTTTTGCGAAAACTAAAATAATATCACGTTTTTCGTAAAAGCAAAACTCCCAGTAGGCACCCTGATCGCGAGTGAAAGAAAAAGAACGCGTCGCATAGGCAGATATTTGACGAAAAGTAACTCGCACACGGTAATGCGGCATAAACACGTCAGAAAGTGAATCTACCTGTCCCACTCAGTCTTTACGTTTTACGGAATTAACCGGTTAATTTTGGTGCCAAAACCGGTTCGTAACTGGTAACCTTTATCGTTTAGGTTGGTTAAAAACCGGTTACTTGTTTAACCGGTATTTGCAGGAGCGATATATTTACCGGTAATTAATCGAAATTAACCGCTCTTTTTAAACCGGTTCCGAGCCCTGGCTCTAACATACATTTTCTCCTTCCTAGAATATTAATTTTACTCTCTTGCTGCTTACTACACCCAATCACTACCATACAATTAAGGTAACACAGCATTGTGAATTGCCATACGTGTCTTTTGTGACATTTACTCAGTAAATAAATTATTAAATATTTTATACATATTAGTATTAGCTAAGCAAAGTATATTTCGGTGACCTATAAAGTATTTATAGGTCACCGACCTTTCACCTATATAATCATATTGGTTGGGCCCACCAGTAAGACATCAGCAACTTTTATTTTATTGTTGAGGAGATAATAATAATAATAGTTAAAATAGTAATGACTGCTTCGTCAGTCCAGTGGTCGTAAGCGCAATTTCTGATCACGTGGTACCAGGTTCGAATTCGATGTCAGGCCAAAATTAGCGGCAAAATTTCAGGCTAAGAAATTCTCCGAAGTATCCCGGAGTTAGGAAGTTGGCGGTGTTTCAACCCCATCCCTCGGAAAGTACGTGAAGTAATCAGTAAAACAATAAAATTTTGAACATCGGTTACAGCGTCAGCCAACGAACACAATTACAATATGTAAGAATGCAAGTAGCAGTAACCAAATCGAAGTATATCCATGACGCCATTGTCAATTAAAATAGAATTCAAAAAAGTCATTATGTCAGTTCACAGTCGATATTAATTATACCGAAAACAACTATTACCATACTTAATTCTTGTCACTCGAAAGTTTAAAACCATCGCTGTGTCATTCCTATATATCAAAATGACAATCCCACAAACTGTGTGGTTCATCTAAAGTAGACTGTTTGACACAAATAATAACGATTAAATTGTGTTTGAAAATAAGTTTGACAACTGTTTAGTTTCAGTTAGGAATTAGTAACGCGTTGCAACGTAACATATTGTCCACAGTCACGCTTTTGTTTTATTTGTACTAAAATAAAACGTATGTTAAGAATGTGACAATGATAGTGCGATGGTGACATAAGTCATTACGATACTGGATTTAGAAGTCATGGGTTCCGGGCTTTGTAGGTACCTAGAATCGATATTTGCCTCAATATAATTGTTTTGGATTATGATTGGTGTAATCACACCTTAACCAAATCCAAGTTCACCTATAAGAATAAATAAATATGTAAAAATCTGGTCAACAGCATACAATGAATGAAAATCAGCGACATACATTGTTTTTTGAGTGAAAGTTATAAATTTGCAGAGTAAAACCCATTGCGAAATGTGCGACTGAGACAAACTAAGCAAACGCGATTCATCGGCGGAGGCGCAAGTTATAAGTAGAAAGTGACAAGAAAATGCATTGTCCATATTTACAAGTATTTTTATTTGAAAATATTACTCAAAAATTTGAATTAAATTAAAACAAAAAGTATAATACGGCATCAGACAATTTTCATATTAGTGATTACGTTAACAGTGTAGTGGCGGTTAAGAATATCCACTACCCCATATCTTCCCTTGGGTGTGGTAAAAGGCGACAGTGGGAAACAGGCAGAAGATGGGCAGCAGCATCTTCTTGATAACAGCAATATCCCAATAAAAAAAACTGCGGTTGCCAACCAGCTCGCAAAGCGTGGCAACTATGGCAATATACCCCCCAATGAAAAAAGAGGACTGACGAGAAGATCCTGGAGCTGGAAGAAAAAATAGACAAGTGGCGCTGGAATATTATAGGACTATCCGAGGTCCGAAGAAAGGGGGAGTACACGGTAATCCTCAAATCTGGCAACTTGTTCCATCACCGGTAGGGCGACCATCTGTCCCAAGGAGGTGTCGGATTTATCGTCCACAAGTCTCTCGTTAACAACGTTGTAAAGATGAGAGTGTGTCGACGAGGGTTGCGTATCTTATACTCAGAATCACCAAACGGAATTCGCTGAAGGTCATACAGGTTTACGCACCAACCTCGGCACACCCTGATGTGTGAGATGGAGGAAATGTATGAGGATATCTATAGAGCCTTGCATTCCTCCAAAACTCACTATACGGTGTTAATGGGAGACTTCAATGCAAAACTAGGCACAAGAGAGAATAGTGAGCTCAAAGTAGGGAAATTCGGAATAAGGCAACGGTATCCAAGGGACCAAAAGCTAGCCGACATCATGGAGAAAGAGGTACTCTTTATGATGAACTCTTTCTTCCAGAAGTGGCCCCAAAAGGAAGTGGATCTGGTCGAGCTCCGATGGTTCGACAAAAAATGAGATTGACTTCATTATGACGACCAGATGAAAACTCTTCAGTGATGTCTCCGTGATCGCGAGTCAAACTGAACCTAAACGTTAAGTTGGAGAGGTCTCGTCTAATGAAGTCAACGCTCCGTCCCCCTCGTGTTCTGTTCCAAAGTCCCGAAATCTTTCAGCTCGAGCTACAAAACCGTTTTCAGTGTCTAGAAGACTGCAATGAAGTGGACGATATGAATGACAAGTTCGTGGAAACTGTCCATGCGGTCGGAGCTAATTTCTGCAAGACCCGCCGCAAAAGAACACAAAAACTCTCCGATCACACTCTTAATCTCATGGCTGTTAGACGGGAAATAAAGCTGCAGTCTTCAGCAGATTTGACAGCACACAGGCAACTGAACAGACAGATCTCCAAATGCATGCAATACCTACGTAAGTTTAATACTGCTCGTATTAAAGTAGAGATCGGAACCTAGACTCCAAAGTCTGTGTCAGAGATCTGTCTGCCAGAAAGAGCCAACTGTCAAAGCTGAAGACCGACTGTGGCAGCATCGTTTCCGGGACACCTGAGACTTTCGAGTGAGATTGAGAGGTTAGCTGCTCAGCTTTACACGTCATCGTTGGAGCCACACGCAAGTGTGAGTAACGATCCAAGAGCGAGTGTTATCCGACACTATTCCGAAGATATTTCGGATGTCAGTCTGAGCGAGATTAGAATGGTTCTCCAGCTCCTTAAAAACGGCAAGTCCCTGGGCGAGGATGGAATTACAGCGGAGCTTCTGAAAGCGGGTGGAAAACTGGTACTTGAAGTCCTTCAGAAGCTCTTTAATTTTGACCTCCATGGTGGTACTACTCCAGAGGCGTGGGGCAGAAGTGCGGTGGTCTTCAAAAAAGGCCATAACGATCTCTTGAAAAACTACAAACAAATTTCCCTTCTGAGCCGCGTCTACGTGCTGTTTTCGAGAGTCATTACGAATCGTCTTGCGCGCAGACTTGACGACTTCCAGCCTCACGAACAAGCCGGTTTCCAATAAGGCTTTAGCACCATAGACCACATACATACCCTTCGGTAAATTATACAAAAGTCAGAGGAGTACAATTTGCCACTATGTCTGGCGTATGTGGGCTATGAGAAAGCCTTTGATTCCGTCGAAATTTGGGCGGTGCTGCAGTCCCTTCAGCGGTGCCAAGTGGACTGTCGGTATATCGAAATGCTGAAGTGCTTGTACAGTAGGACTAAGATGGCTATCCGAGTACAGAACCAGAGTACGAAACCTATCCTACTGCATAGAGGTGTAAGACAGGGCGACGTTATATCCCCGAAACTTCACCGCTGCATTGGAAGACGTTTTCAAGCTACTGTACTGGAAAGGATTCGCCATTGATGTTAATACCGTATATCAATATCAAAGGCGAGTACATCACTCACCTTCGATATAGTCGTTATGGTAGACTGCCTCGTTGGTCTAGTGGTAGTAATATTGCGACTGCTTATCATGAGGTCCCGGGTTCGAATCCCAGGTCGAGCCAAAAAAAATTATTTATTGAGTTTTTTCTATCAAGATATTTTCAGTAGCTGCCCGGAGTCAGGAAATTGCCGGTGTCTCACCCCCGTGCCTCGGAAAGCACGTTAAGCCGTTGGTCCTACGCCTGATCTCTCTCCGGTCGTGTCGGATTATACCGTCCTATCGGACTATGAGAGTGAGGGAATAGAGAGTGCACCTGTGCTTGCGCATACACTTGGGCACTATAATCCTATCCTGCGCAGATGGCTAGTCTCCGTTGAAACTGGCCGCCATGACCGAAATTCGGTCTGGAGGACATTATGGTGGAATCGCTGGAGGACATAAGCACTATGCTACACCTGCGATAGGGAGACACCTTAATAGTGTCTCCCAATGAATAGTTCTTAAGATGAACATGGACAAAACAAAGATCATATTTAATATCCATGTCACACCTATGCCGGTAGTTGTTGGGAGCACTAAGCTCGAAGTTGTTGACAAGTATGTTTACCTGGGACAAATGGTCCGACTACGTAAGTGCAACTTCGACCGAGAGGTAAATCGACGGATTCAACTCGGTTGGGCAGCGTTCGGGAAATTGCGACACATCTTCTTGTCAGGTATACCTCAAAACTTAAAAACGAGACTATAATGCCTGTCATCAGGACTGGCTGTTCCCATACCAGAAGACCGACCACGCTGGAAGAGAGGCGTGGAATTTTGCCTTGTCGCTGAGGCTCTCCCAGCTGGTACAACAAGCGACTAGGGTACCTGATGTGGATGGCCACACAGCTAACTACCTCGGCCTTCTGCTGACAACCGATCCAGACAGGTACGATGTTCAG